ATACATAGAAGATGTTGATTTAACATCTGCTATGCTGTTTAAGTTCCAGTGTGGTTGCTATCATTTCATAGCTTTCTTCAGCACAAACAAGTAAATACAAATTCTTACCCTGATTCTGAAAATGTTGAGCTAATTAATGTAGTTGGGTTTTATACAGATGGCAGCCTTAATATGAACAACATTTATGATAAACCTACAGAAACAGTGCCTGGACCAACTGGATCATTAAAAAAAGTATTTGTTAAGCATTATTCAGTCTTGGTTCTGAATTAATAAATAAGGGATTAAGGAGTGGTTATGTGAGACTTTAAGTATAGAGTGATAAAACAAACTCCTGCATTTCTATGGCATATATTTTATCCTAACTAGATGCAATTTACTTAAATAAGGCAATTTAATCAGTATTTAGTAAATTTGTCATTTGATATTGTAGAATCTTTCATCATATTTCACTTTAATCAAGCAAGGTAACACCTGTGGTTTATTCACAAAAGCTCCTTTTGTTAAATGAACACCCGCAGGCCATGAAGCAATTACATTTGTTGCTTGTACCAAAGTGGGAGGCACTTAAATAGACCTTAGTGGGGATAGATGAGAACTTGCAGACTTTTATTCTTTTGTCCAGCCACTGAGATTAGTTCTTATCATAGCTCAAGAAGGAAGCCTCTGAACTGAAAAGATGGGAATTATTTAAAGTTCTTCTTAAGTTGGAAACTTTGATATTGCTGGAGGTGATGTGAATACCTGTGACCTTACAAAAGTTCAAACATCTACTCCCAGCTGATTGTATGTGCTGATGTTTTTGGAGATTGCAAGACATTCATGTTTATAAGTGCCCTAAAATCACTAGCAAAAGCTCTCTCAAAACAAAAACCCTAAACCACAGAAGCCTGTCTTCAGTTTGTTGGGTTTGGGGGTATTTTTGAGGCAGATAATTTAGTTCTGTTAGCTTTATTTGCAATGCATTAGTTTCCTAATATGTCAGTTAATGCATCACAGGGTTCCTATCTCTTGGGTTTCAAGATAATTGAATTATCAAAGAAAAAAAGTTTGGCATCATGTGAAGAGACCAAAAGAATATAATTGTTTGATGATTCCCCCCTTTAAGTAAATTACTGTCTTATGCTGGTGAGTATGCATCAAACACCTGCCCTGTACTTCAGCTCTGCCACTTTAGCTGCACCAATGAGTAAACTCCAACAGCTCTGCAAATGTTGCCAGTTTGTCTCAGTGAAAGATGTTTATTTGGGGTGAAAGAGAATGAACTGCTGCCTCCAGCTCAGTTGTTGCCAGGGATGGTCTTGTTCTGGTCTAGAGCCTGGGGAGGGAGCAGAGGGGTGTCTGATGGTGCCTTTCATTGCCACACTTTGAAGCAGCACTGCAGATAACCGGTTCTGCCTGAGAACAAGGGAGGTAAATCCTGGGATAATCTGCACAGAACAGGGGCACAGGGGCTGCTGAGGCACAGGGAGCTGCCTGCAGACAGCCAGAGACAGCATTTCACAGCAGCCTGCCCTGCTCAGGAGTTGCTGCTTCTGCAGTCCCACTCGTTCTGTGAAAATGCAGCTGCTGGCTGTGTGAGACTTTGCCATCTTTAGTTCTGGCCTGTGTGTAGGCAGCTCAGAGATGCTGCCCAGCCCAGGGCAGTGCTTTTACCCCTCACCGGTGGGGGTTTGCACTCACTGTCCCTCTGTGATTTCTGTGCCATTTCTTGGATGCAGTTAACTTTCTCTAAGAGGTCCACTGCCTGTAGATTCCAAAATGCAGCCCCTTGATCTGTGACACAAGTGGCTTTCCCTCTGTGCAATTAATACATTCTTACTAAAAATACAGGTTTTTAACAGCCAATTTTTTTTTTTTTTTTTTGGTGAATATTATTCCCAGCTAGTGTGCTTGCAGAGCTTTGCAGGGTTTCAGATTGGGTCCTGGCCTCTGATATTCCAAGTGAACTATTCCCTGTGAGCAATCCCACTGAGATGAATGATGTGGTGTAGACATGGCTTGGTGCATAGAGGAGGATTCTGGCACTGATCTTTATTTCAAAGGGGTTTATACTACTCTTGGGTTTTGGTTTTTTTTTAATTAATGATTATTGCCTGTCACTGGTATTGGTTTTACATTTTCCTGTAATTCTTGTGATTTTTCATGTGAAGGGCCTAGATGATGGACAGACACTGCAAAGGTGCATTATCCCTAGATGAATCACACATTGTGACAGTACTCTTAATGCCAAATTCAGAGGTGTAGGGCCCAGTCATACCTTCCAGGGAGAACTGCAAAAATTACCTTAAGTGGTGAAGTTCAGGATGTAGGAAGACACTTTACTGCAAATGTCATACCTGCAAAATGTGAACATATTGACTGGACAAATAATTATTCCTAATACTGGAAGTAGTTTTATACCATTACAGGCAAAAGCAATTTATTTTCTTTTTTTGTAATTTTAGAGCTTGGTGGAAATATTGGAAGCGTTCTAGAAAGCTTTTGGATGTACTTGAGTCACGAGTGGTTCTTTATTTTACACAGTAAAAGATGAGCATCACATTCTGCCTGTGAACTGGGAGAAGTGAGAAAGCACAAGATCCAGAACAGCACAGGGGGAGCTGGCAGGGAAACAGGAGCACACTGCAAGAAGTGTTGGTTTTGCAGCAACATGAAATGTTAGCATGGCTTTGCTTTCTATACCTTAGTAATTCCAGCTTGTCCAGTTTGTGTGTTTGGTGTCACAGTGGCAGCAGTTTGGTGGCTGACTGGTTATTCCAGGATGTGCTGGAGTTTGCACCAGGAGGGTCAGGTGCTGCCTTGTACTGTTATTTGTACATGGGAAACAATCTCACGTGTGAATGTGGGCACAGGGAGTGCTTTGGGTGAATCCACTGAACTAAGTGACCACAAACATCCAGCTACATCCAGCTGGACATCCTAAACATGGAATCTTTGAGGAAAACAGCAGTGACAGCACATGCTCAAACACAGACCTATCAAAAATACAAAATGCATGTTCTACACTGGTTGTTTGACTCCAGATAGAAGCTTTTGAAAATGTATAAATTGACTTCTGGTTGGTTTTTTTTGTTTGCAAACCTGCTTGGGTAGGAGGAGGGCCAAAGTCATGTAGCTGGAACCAGCTGGCCTTCCCAGAGGAAACCCTTTGGTGCATGTGCCAGGAATCCGATCAGCCTAGCAAGCAACAAAGGTGGCAGACAAGCTGAACAGGGAATTCCTGTCTGGAAGGACTGGGAGAAACAAGCTTGGCTCAAGTAGTGGAACAGTTAAAACCAAAGGAGGTGGCATTCCTTTATACCTCGGGCAGGAGATGGTGCCAGTGGGTTTCAGAAGGGCTTAGACATTGCTGGGCGCCTTCGGAAATGCTGAGGGCAGGCTTTGTGCTCTCTGAGAGACCTCCAGCACCTCTCCTGGTGCCACAGCAACACAGGGCTGCTTGGGAGGGATGGCCAGGCTCACAGATGCTCTCTGCAGTGTGTTTTCTCTGCCCAAGTGACCTGTTGTGTCTCAGTCCACAGCTGGCACATTTGCCGCGCTCAGCAGAGGGGCTGTGGCAGCAGTGTGCCAGCCTGGGATGCTGCTCTGGTGACAGGCACGTGGCAGCAAGGCCAAACAAGAGCAAGCCCATGTTCCCAGGGAGTGTTACCTGGCCAGATACCTGCAGGTATCACCTGCAGTTTGCTCCAGTGGAACATCTGCATTTGTTCTTACTGGTTTACAACCTGCCTTTACTCTGGAGTCTTTCCATTGTTTAATCTGTTACCCATGAACTCTCTCTTATGTAGCTATTGTGTTTACAGTACATGGCTCAATTCTAAAACATTCATGCTACTTGTACTTTGAGTTTCACTTGAAACTGTTTGTTTATTTATTTAGTTTGTTTCCATATGTTTTTCCTCTGAATTGTGGTAGTAGTAATGTTTCAAGTAGATACTTCATGGTAATGTTTCAAGTGGATACTTGGTTCTGGAAAAATAAATGTTTAAAGTCCATATTAAATATTCTCTAGATTGAGAATATGTTGCTTCATTTAAATTTTCAGCCTGGTTTAAAATTTTAGAAACAAGAACCAATAAGAAACATAATTATTAAGTATTTTATTTGGTAACTTGAAAGAGGTTATTTGTATCTGAAACAATTTGAAGAAAACATTGCAAAATAGTATTGTATGTCCTAAGTAGATATCTTAGTTTAAGACTTGCAGGAGCAACTTTTTCACATATGAAAGCTTCATACTCTCATTTAGGTAACTATTACAGCTATGTTGCTATTTCTCATTTTGTCATTGAGTCAGCCAGTGAATGCCATGAATCTGTGGTATGTAATATAGTTAATGCATAATATATATGGGCAATGAAAGGTCTTTGTCATATAGTATAAGGTCACCATCATTAATTTTCAAATTATAAAAAGGGATTTGCTGTTTTGTGATCATCATTATTGCAATATAATGTGTTGTGGATTCTGCCTGCACATAGAATGAACTGTGATCTTAATTAGAACTTTGACAAGCCTACTCCGATAAAATGATGAGATTATTCGTAATTGATGTCACAATCAATTACCAGTTAGTTCATCATGAATCTACTAACAGGTCTAGCCTTGGTGCTGGCCCCAGGATGTTGATGAGTGTGTGGCTGCCCTGTTCATGCTGTTACTGCGACAGGAGGGCAGATTTTCAGTCAACATCCTAATGACCTCTTTTGAAGTCTATTAAATTAATGACCCTGTCACATTGGTCTAACCTCTTGCATCTTCATTTTGGGTTTTTTGTTGCAAACCATTGGTTTTTGAGCACATGATAGAACAGATACTTTGGAGCACTCCTTCTCATCCCTCTAAATCTGGCAGTGGGTCTCATAGACTCAATAAAATTTAGTTCATTACACAGTCGTGAAATACAGAGCACAGAAATCAGGAAAAACACTGTAAGGCAAACTGTGCTTAACACCATGCTGTTCTGGTTTCTTTTTACATTTCAATCTTGCTTATAGGTGCCTAAAGGACATGTCTGGTTAGAAGGTGATAATCTCAGGAATTCTACAGATTCCAGGTGCTACGGACCTGTTCCTTATGGGCTGATAAGAGGACGCATTTGTCTTAAGGTATGTGAATTTCTACTATCTAAAAACAGTTGCATTAATGCATTTTTAATGAGTGGCTGTTAGGTACTGAAACTTGCCTCCCCAGCTGCCTGGCCACAGCAAATGGAAAGGAAAGCATGAACACTCCACCACCTGCTGTAAAAGGATAAATCAACAGTGACGGGGTTTTTGGAGGGAGGACTTTGGAGCAGCACTGAGCAGTTTTCACTGCTATGAAAATGGAATGAATTGTTTTGCAAGCAAATCCAAACATGATAAAACCACAAATGTACACACCTACGCCCTACTGCACAGATGTACATTTCATCCTTACTGTGATTCTCTCTGCAAAATGATCTTTCACTGTTGTAGCTCTATGGTCCAGAAAACAAAATGGAGGAAAAGATTGTCTTTCCAGACTTGAACATGTAGCCTGGCCTTGCTGCTTTTTAAACTAAAAAAATGCTTTAAATTAATATTGTACTGTATAAACCATCATGTTTTTTTCTCCTTTTGCTTCAACAATTCTACAACTTCATTTCACACTGAATTATTTTTTGATATTATCTGTGTTACTAGTTTACTCTTTTATCAAAAAGAAGAAATACAGCATAATTTCCTCTCCATAAAAAGTTTAATCTAAGAAATAGGGGAGTGTGTATTACACAGTTATGCACCTGCTTTTAGAAAGCTGGATTTGAAGTTGTGCATTCAGAACAATAAAAAAGGTTTTCTCCATGTACTTCAACACATCCACAAACCCATAATTTAGCACACCTGTATTACACAGGAAAGATTAGATCTTTCCAATTAGCAAAGCCTTATATCCTTAATTTACAGTATTTATGAACACAATTTGGGACTTTTCAAAACAACCCCTTGGAGCTATTGAGCACAATCAGTAATTGCTTTCTAAACCTCAGACAACAGGGCCCCCTCAGCCCTACTGGCAAATTTGGGGTGACCTCTGTTCCTCCTGGCTCCCATTTGCTCTGAGTTCCTCCCTGGTGTTTACTCAGAGCTCTGCCCCTTCTCCTGCCCTGCCCTGGACAGCAGAGGGGAAAAGGCTGGTTCCCAACAGGGCTATTTTTATGGCCCAGGTTTTAGCTTGAATTATTGACTGCTAAGAGACAAAGGATGCTCATCTGCTGACACTCCTCTAATGAGAATGTGGCAGTAATCATGCAACTGAAAAAAGCATTTCTCCAAGCTGGTGCACAGGTACAGAAAAGCTGCTGCTGTTCACTGCTTTAATGTTAGCAAATACTGGATATATCAAGAAGCTGTGTGTATGGACAGGCAGAATCAGTCACAGGATCTCTCCACAGCAATACATTTTGTGTCCAGCTTGTGCCCTGACAAGGAAGGTGTTTGAAATATCTTAATGAAGTGACTGACAGGACTGAACCCTAAGTAAACTCTGTACAGTGAGTGGAACTCACAGATAATTCATATTGAAGCACTACTTTAGGAGTCCTGAACATTGTCTGCTGAAAAAAAATAATTATGCAATCACTTGATACTTAATCAAAATAATTTAACCAGATTCCACAGGCAGTTGTTTAATGACAGTGGCATGGAGTAATGATTATTCAAGTTTTTGTGAGATTTAAGTATTTGGTGCCTAACAAAAGCAAAAATGACTTTGTTCTTTAAATGAGTGTTTCTAATTGGGTTCTTCCTGATAGCTCACATGAGCACGGAGTGCTGTTGCTCCTGTGTGCTGCTGCTGCACACTGCAGTCAGGGCAGCAGGTACAGCCTGCTCAGGGCTGCCTGGCCACTGGCCAGGAAACCTCTGAGTGCTTTTAGTGCAGCCTGCTGCAGCTTTGGCTTCTCCTCCATCCAACAGTTTTTACTGCCTTCAGAATGGAAGTTTTTGTGTCTTTGTCTTACAGTGGAGCAGATGTAACAGTGCCTTTCAGTGCTAAGTTACTTTTTTAGGAATGGACACAAAAACCCCCAGATATAATTTGGAAGTCAGGGATTTCCACAGAAGAGAGTGAGCTTAGCCAGCCTAGCTGGCTGCATTTGTTTAGCCAACCTATTCTTGGCAAAACATGAATGTTTATCTGAAGTTTAGACCAAGGGTTGGTGCAGCAGTTTTTAACCCTTACAGAAATTCCAACACTTGATTCTTGTCCTGCCACTCCAAACACAAGGTCATGCCATAAAGGGCTGCTGAAATCAAAGCAGCTGCAAATTCAGGAAAAGCACTGGGAATCCCACTTAGAACTCATGTTTCATCCTGTCCTAGGTAGGATATCCTGTGCATTCCCTGGATTTAGGCTCCATGTCACAGCTAGACCTGTGGTGTATCTTCAAAAGAGCTAGTTAGCCCCATTTATGCCCCGTCCATCAGATCAAATCTATCTATGTAGGCCAAAGCAGAGAGGGCAAAGAGCTGCTAATTGGAAGAGCCATTCTGAATGAGCAAGTCACAGTCAACTTCTGTCAGAACTTTAAAGGCAGAGTAGCATGTCTTTGTTTCACAGAGGAGAGCTTGCCATCTCTTTCCAAGCACCAGTGTTGTTTCTCAGGTTCTCCCTGCATATGCAGACTAGATAAAACATCATTTTCATTCTAACTCTTACCACTAAGATTACTGTGACAAATTTCAAACTGCACTGTCAAAGCAACCTTTAAAGCTAATTTGATTACTTTCACTGAAAGAAAGTCAAGTTGCAGTAGGTGTGATTTGAGTTGCCTGAAATGAGATTTGTGCTGGAGCGAACAGACTGAAAAACTACCTTCTCCAGGCCTTTACTGAGATCAGCTCACATCTGTTATATGGGATATTTTTCTTTCCTCTTACTTCTGCTCGCCTTCAGGGCCAAACAAAGACTTGACACCCAGCCTGCAGCCAGCACAGGCCCTCTGGACAGCTTTGAATTCTACAGCTTTGCTGCTAACCAAGATCACAAATACCCTTCTGTTGCTGGCTTGTATCTGTATTTTTGTGAGGAACTTAAAATAGCTCCCTGATCAGCACAGAGACAAGGCATCACCTCTGTGCTTGTGTCACAGCTGTTCCTCCTGCTCCTCCCTGACTGCACATGCCAGAGCCACAGGAATTGTCTGAGCTCTTGCACAAGAGCCTTTTCCTGATGCACAGCACTTGAGGCCCTGAGCATGACTGTCCTTCTGCCTTCCTGGTGGGGCACAGGAGCCTGCAGAGGGCACAGCCCCAGCCAGGAGAGAGCTGCTGGAGCTGCTGCTGCTGCTGCCAGGCCTGTCCTGAGCTGCCTCGGCCTCTCCTGGCACAGCCTTTGCTGCTGGGGACACATCACAGGGGCAGAAATAACTGAGCCGCTCCCTGTGCTCCCTCTTTTAAACGAGACAATTGCTCTTTCACTCCACACAGGGAGCAGCAAAGGCTCCTTCTGAGCTCTGGCTGCTCCATGAAGTCAGGATTGCTCTTAGGTTGCTGTTCTTAAGATCAAATTCTAAGGAAAAATAAGTGAGATAACTAAAATACTGACAGATGCTTTGGGAACAAGGTAGCAGCCCAACTTTCACTGTCTAGGCTGCTTCATCTTGAGCAAGGGCTGTGCAATTTTTATGGGCTTAGAGCCACAGAGGGCATTGATTGTTCAGCTTCATCTTTCCCTTCTTCCTGCTGAGCCCCTTGTGCCATCTTTGAGACACAGACATTCAAGGGAGACAAAGGGCAATGAGTAAATGAATGTCCTTGCTTTCCTGTTGCCTTTTTTTTTTTTTCTGCATCCAAGACCATCCTACATGTAATTAATGACTGTGCAGAGCAAAGTACTCCTGGGAGCATTCAGTACATGAACAGCTCCACAGGTAATTTCTGGAGAGAAGATTTGTTTATTGGCCAGCTTCACTCTTTGACACCTGTACTTGGTGATGAGTTGTGCTTTTTTGGAAATAACTCCCTTCTCAGAGGAGCTTCATTCAGAGCCTGGTGGTGGAAGGCACTCCACCCCTTCATTCCTGTTTAAGTTTGTTGAAGTTTACCTGCAGCCAACTGATCTTTTTTTTTCCAAGGTTTGGTATTTCCAGTTCAAAGGCCCATCTTGAAAATACAAATAAAATAAAAATACACCTCATCACAAGGACGTCCATGTGTGTGGTACTTTTTTCCTCTTAGATGGACCAAAAAACACAAACCTGGTCTTTAAAGTCATGAAGAGCTTTACAAGCTAGAAAACACAGAATTGGGAAGATGCTCTTTAGGAACATATTTATTTCCAAGGGTGAAAAAAGCAATGGAATTCATGAGGCTCTCCATAGCAAAGCACGTCTCCTGTATAAATGGTAAAATTCACACTCTGGAACAATTCCCTGTAATACACAGGATTAATTACTCCTGTGTAAGAGAAGCACATCAGTGAGCAAAGTTCTTTACCAAAGAGAGAAAAAATGATGATGTTTATGAAACAATTCCAATAACAAATGAAAACACTGAAGTTTGGATTGTGATTAAATCTCTTGTAACTGTTCTTTATTTTACAGATATGGCCTCTGAATGACTTTGGATTTCTACGTGCAAGCCCCAACGGCCACAGATTTCTTGATGATTAAAAGACTTATGTACTATTGACTGTTTTCATAGTATTTTCTACTAAAATGAATGGAAACTATTTTTGCTTAGAATAAACCCAAATATTACTTGACAAAGATATCTTTTTCTGAGATTACACCTAACTTCAGAGTGGGAATGATACACTTGTGTCATCAACCAAAATGATGTGCCTGCCATCAGCAGGTGGTGCCAGGGCTGGCACTGAACACAGCACCAGTGGGGCTCCAGACCTGCAGGTGGGGTTTCCTCTGGCTGCCCAGTGGGGTCAGAGCTCAGCTTCCTCCTTAGCTGTCCTCTCAGGAATGATGACTCCGTTTGTTCTGACACGGAGAGCCTCAGCCCAGCTCCTGCTCCTGCTCCAGGTGGTGCCACTGTCACGGGGCAGGCACAGCCACTGCTTCCAGCTGCCAGCCTCTGCCTCCTCCTCCTCCTCCTCCTCCTAGGCCCCAGCCCTTGAGAGGACTTCATGAACTTAAATATTTAGCTTACAAATGGAAAATGTTCCTGTTTCCCACTGCTGAACTTTGCTCTTCATTACCTTCAAAGCATTCTCACGTCTGCGCCTCCTGATTGAATTTTGTCATCTGAGCTGTTGCAAGGATTTAACCTAAGAAGAAGGGCCCAAGAGCTGCTGCAGACTGAAATTGGAAGAAGCTGCTCTGTTGTTTGCTGGGAAAGAGACCTTTAGATCAGGAGATGCATTCCAGTTGTACAAACTGCTGTTCTGGGCTGGAGGTGTTGAGCAATGAGCTCTTCAGCTGCAGTAGGAGAATCCCAGCTGTGTGAGCAAAGGGGAACTTGTCATTTTTAACCCTGAATGAACTCATTCTTGTAGTGCCCCCCTTTTCTTTAACATACATTTCCTTAGCAGATTCTGTCACGTGTTTGTCCAGTCTTTTGAACAGTTTGTAACACTCAGTGTGCTTCACTGAAACAATCATTGCAGGATCTCGATAACAAGTGAACATGTGTCACAACAAACCAAAGATACGTCTTTGGTTTCACTCTTGGAGACACTGTAATTCCCCCCACATCGACAGGACAGAGTGTAGAGTTGTTCATCTGCCAAAAAAGAAAAGAAAAACACCTTTAGTGCTGGAGAAGAATCAAGAATTTATTTAGAATTTTCTTCACAAAGCTGCTCTTAGTAACAAACTGCTGGGTTGTAAGTATCAGTATCTGTGCTACCATTTGTAGCTCAAAAAATAATCTCAAACTGTTTCAGTGATTGAGGTATTCTTACACTGAACAACCAGGGCCAATGGAGTCTCTTCAAAAAAAAAAAAAACCTAACAACCTAAACAAAATCTCCAGTAATTACAAGGTGCACAATCTGATGATACTAAAAGAAAAATCATACAGATTGAGGATGCTTCCAAAACAGGCTGCTAACCTAGGCACCAAAACAAAAAAAAAGGAAAGTAGGATTTTTCCCCTCACAACTTAAAAAAAAAAGTTTAAAAATAAAAATAAATATCAGCCATTTATTCCAAAAGCAATTTAACAAGAAAAGCCAGGGCAATAGACAGGAGGGAAGGAACAGTGGCAGGTGAAAAAAGAAACAGAGGCATTCTACCATCACAGGAAGGGCAAGAAGATGCACAAGAGCTATGGGAAAAATCTGTGTACTCTCAATGATACCAGAGGAGAGCTGGGTGAAAAGTGGTACTGCAAGTGAGGGTGGGGAGAAATGCAGATGAAATGGGAAACAAATGTAACAGAAAAGTTCTAATCCAGGTAATCTCAGAGAGCAAAACAGCTTTGTCCCAGGAAATACAGCAAAAACAGCACTTAAAGTAAGGCAACAATGGTGTAAGATGCAGAAAAAAAGGAGAAAACATTAAGAGGGACAAAGAAAAGCATTGGGAACCAGCAGCAAGGCACTCACACCTTCATTCCAGGACATGTCCTCAAGATAAATCTGTTCGTGAAGTGGCCATTCTTTTGTCAGGTTATCTTCTGTAAAGCAAACATGACAGATGCTCAGTCTTTTCTGAGAAATTAATGGGTTTATTATATACCTAGCAGTCAGCCTGGTCCCTACCAGAGTCCTGCCTGGACCACTGTGTCAGTTCAAACTGGAGTTCTCTAAAATTTTAGGTTTCCATAGATCTGCATAAGCTGGAACATGTTCTCTTGTAGCCAGGAGAAATAAATGGTGACAACAAATTACTGAATTAAGACCCTGAAACCAGCACTTGTGTGAAATTAGGGGCAAAATTCTGTTTTGATGTAGGTGCCTTTCAAAAGCTGGCTGTAACTCCAACTCCACGAGCTGAAATGGTGAAAGTGAACCTGGACCTTTCACAGATTTGTGGGACCTCTCAAGATCACCCATCCAAGCCTCCTGCACCCCCAGGGCAGCTGGAACAAGCTGACCAGGATGGGCAGATTTTAAATATCTCTACAAATGGAGACGTCTCAGTGTCTCTCAGGCAACCTCATTCCTGGAGAAGGAAGAAGGAGAAGTCAAATAAAAACCTTCCAATAAGCACCAAGGGCTTGTTGTGTGTGAGAACACCACTGAGATTCCTGCAAGGAAATAAATCCTGCAGAAGAAATAACTCCTGTAAAAAACACTTGTAGGGGAAGAGCAGTCCAAGTGCTCTTTTATGAGGAAGAGTCTCTGAGCACAGAAAGAAAGTCAAGTTCTGCCTGTACCTGAGAGATCTGTTGCCATTTGATCCCCCAGTGAGTCCAGCATGAAATGAAAAGTGTACAACATCTACAGGTAACAAAAAACTGAGTTATAAAACTTCCAGAGCTTCCTATTTGGGATTAATGAAGCAGGATTTATCTCAAAACTTTTATAGGATTGGTGATGGAGGTCTGGGTCATGCCTCACTGCTAGAAAGTACAAAAAGGGCAGATGGGCCACCTGAAGATGCAATGCAAATTAATGAGCTTACCATACTTCAAGTAAAGTAGCTGTGAATCATAGAACCACAGCATCATTTATGCTGGAAAACATCTTTGAGTCCAACCATTAAAGTAATGAAGAAGCAGCTGAGGAAAAGTCTGCTCTCTCTTCTGTTCCAAACATGGTATAATACAAAGCCCAGGGAGCAGAATTTCAACAAAGCTTTTTTAATTCATCTCTGCAATTGTAATTTTGAAAATAAAAAAAAAATCAATGGGCAAAAATAATCCTCACAGTTCCTAGGCTGAACAGAAATTGTTATTCATTGTTATTCTCCATCTGATGCTCAGATCTGAAGGATCAGGCACAGCATCTCCAGCAGAGCAAGGCAGGGATTGTCCTGCTCTGCTCTGAGCCGGGGTGGCCTCACCTCGAGTGCTGGGGCAGTTTTGGGTCACAACATAAAAAAGAGATGAGGCCATTAGAGAACATCCCAAGGAGGCCTTGAGGACGGGGAAGGGCCCTGAGGGGGCAGAGTGTGAGGAGCTGCTGAGGGCACTGGGTCTGCTCAGCCTGGAGGAGACTGAGGCCAGAGCTCATGGTGGCCTTCAGCATCCTCACCAGGGGCAGGGCAGGGTCAGGCACTGAACTCTGTGGGACAGGGACAGCACCCAGGGATGGCTGGAGCTGGGGCGGGGGCAGGCACTGAACTCTGCTCTGTGGGACAGGGACAGCACCCAGGGATGGCTGGAGCTGGGGCAGGGCAGGGGCAGGCACTGATCTCTGTGGGACAGGGACAGCACCCAGGGATGGCTGGGGCAGGGCAGGGCAGGGGCAGGCACTGATCTCTGTGGGACAGGGACAGCACCCAGGGATGGCTGGAGCTGGGGCAGGGCAGGGTCAGGCACTGATCTCTGTGGGACAGGGACAGCACCCAGGGATGGCTGGAGCTGGGGCAGGGCAGGTTCAGGCACTGATCCCTGTGGGACAGGGACAGCACCCAGGGATGGCTGGAGCTGGGGCAGGGGCAGGCACTGAACTCTGCTCTGTGGGACAGGGACAGCACCCAGGGATGGCTGGGGCAGGGGCAGGGCAGGGGCAGGCACTGATCTCTGTGGGACAGGGACAGCACCCAGGGATGGCTGGAGCTGGGGCAGGGGCAGGCACTGATCTCTGCTCTGTGGGACAGGGGCAGCACTCAGGGAATGGCCTGGAAGCAGGGCAGGTTCAGGTTGGATATCAGGAACAGGTTCTTCCCCCAGAGGGTGTTTGGGCACTGGCACAGCTCCCCAGGGCAGAGCTCACAGCACCAGCCTGGCAGAGCTCTGGAAAGGTTTGGACAATGCTCTCAGGCACAGGGTGTGATTCCTGGGGTGTGCACAGCCTTCACTGATCCCCCTAAGCCCCTTCCAACTCAGCATATTCTATGACTGTGATTCTATGAAGTCTGAAATCTGGTTATCTCAAAAAAACCAAAATTTGCTATTAGCACTCTTGACTTCCCACATGATCCAGTACCAGCTCTTGTCAGGCAGCTTTGCACACTGCATTTATTTGCCTGGCTGGTTCAAGCAGGAGGAACATTTTCCAGAGATGAACAAAGCTTTTTTATTTTCTACCTCTCCTACTAAAGCCATTACCCAGCCTAATACACCTTGAGACAGCAGAAACAGAGGAAGCCACTTAAAAACTGAAGCACAGCCCAGTCTGAGTTTGCAAGCAGAACATCCAACCCAATATCTCTCAGATTTTTGTGCCCTTCTTTATTTCATCTGTATCACTGTTATTACAACCATGGCTCCTTGCTTGTCTGAAACAAACTGGTGTCCCATTTTCCCTCCCAGCCCCAAAGAGAGAGGGAATGTCCCACTGAGTGCTGAGTTCTGTGATGTCTGCTCAGGCTGTAAAATTCTGTGTACTGAGTTTTCTTCAGAGCTGTCACTTTTGAAACCCACCCTGAGCATCCAGGGGGAAATGTGAGCAGCAGAACTTGGGAAACAAATTTTAATTCCCAGCAGCACAGCCTGCCTGGCTTTGCCATCTATTGGATTTGTCTGACAACAAGAGGTGAAAGGATTCTGCAGCTCCATTGTCTCAACTGCAGGATCTAAGAAAACACTGGCAGGCTCATCAGAGAGGTTTATGAGCCTGCAATTCAAAGAGATTAAAAGGAAAAATCTACTGAGATTCTTTCAGGCTACAGAACAACATTAAATAACTATTAGCAGCTTGGTTCAGTAAAGCTTTACTAGAGCCCTTGCTGGGTCATTCAGAAATTGTAAAAGAGGAAAGGTATTTAAGTTTCACTTGGAGATACAATAAATATTTCTTGGGCTATTTAAGACTGAGTTTTAGGGAAAAGGGTTGCAAGCAGTAAATGGAAATTCAACCCTTTTAACAGTTTATGGTTATAGTAAAAATAGTCATAATACTTGAAAGATTTTTCTAGCTCTTTATCAGGCATACATACTTCGGATTGACTTTTTTTTTCAAACCAAACACAATTAAACTTTAAGATATGTACTGTCAGTCAAATACTGCTCACAGTATCTACTCTGCATAAAAATCACCACATACTCACTGGATGCTTTCACAAGTTAATTTTTTTAAACAGGCTTTTCAGTTTTAAAACAATTACTTAAATTTGAGTCTTTTCAGACTCTTCTGACTTTCCTGAGTCTTTTCTTAGCTGCTGTCTCAATTTAAAACAATCACACCTACTTTAATTTCAAATTTTAACAAAGTCACGTTGAGAATTTTCATAACAAAGAGATGCAGAAATACCAAAACAATCCTGCTGCACTTGTTGCAGATGAGATTTAACTCCAGAGAGTTCAAAGGCTTGTGCTCCAGCTGAGGGGCAGCAGCCACAAATCCGTGGCTGGAGAAGGAACATCCACTTCTGTCACACACAGAGCATAACCTGGCACTCTGCAGATCCCTGCTATTGTCAGCAAAGCCTGCTTTAATCACCAGGTGTTACAAAATGAGCTGCTTTACACTAAGTACAACCTTTTGTGCTGTTTTTTGCCCAGAGCAGCTCGAGAATCTCTGCCCTTGGAGACAGTAAAGCCAGGCTGAGCAGGGAGATTGATCTGCACAGGGTGGCCCGGGAAGGTTCTTCCAGCCCCTGTGATTCTCTGGCTCTGTTGAGAAGTTTTCCTTCTTTCCAGCTGTGTCACAAAAGCATGAACTTATGGGGTTCAGGGGATTTCTAATGTGAAAAATGTGAAATGGGTTTTATCCACACAAAAAACTTTTGGTAATTATCAGAGCCAAGCCTGATTTTAACTGCATATTTGTCTTTTTTAAGTGGGATATCAAACAAAGAATGGAAAAATCTAAGAAGAAAATCTATTGACAAAAAAAACCCAAGTCCATTCTTCATAGGTAAATTCTTATGCAGGTTTTTTTTTCTTCCAGCCCCCAAATTTTTCATAGGGACTGTAAGCAAAAGATTCACCATCATAAAAAGGTATTCTTATATGGCAAAACAATGAATGGGAAAAAATTTCAGAAAACATACAAAAAGGCAGTTCTCATAGGATTTCCAGATCAGAAAAAGTTGGGTAAGTATTTGAGTCTACCTCTGAACAGTTTGAGGTTTGTCACTTCCCCTTTAATTCCATGGCCTGAAGGCACCAAAAAATTAGGAGATTACTGAGAAGCCTTCAGAGAAAAGCAGTATTAAGCTCTAAAAGCACATTTCACTTGTTATTCTCAACAATTCCAACAAAAAAAAAATTTAAACCATAGAGCCCCACAGAATTTCATCTCCTTGGAACTTCTCTGGCTACTGAACTTCTGAGCCAAGTAGTTCAGATTGAGTTAGTGTAACACAAGAAGGTACAAACAAACAAACAAACAAATGCACACAGCCATCCTTCAGATCCTGCTCCCTGGCCTTCCTCTGCACCTTAGCTTGCTCTATTCTCTCTCTCATCACTATTCCCCTTGGCTGCTGCCTCAATCCCTTTGTTTCTGCCAGCCTTTATGGCAGTGTCCATGAATTTGTCTGGAATTGTGGCTGCAGAAGGAGCTTGACAGGCATTCAAAGAAGGAGAATTTACCTCCCCATCATTTTGCTGCCAGGGAACATGCTGGAAAGAATGCAGCAGCGCTGCACATGTGTGTGAGGTGTGGCCCTGGGAATGGCACCCTCTGTGCTAAAACAGAATGTCCCATCACCCAACACCTGCCTCAACAGAGCTACAGCCTGAGTCCTTCATTTACCAAGTCTTTCCTACACAATCTTGAGATGGCTTTTCAAAGAACTCATCTGGATGCAAAAGAATCGCAGAAAATATAGATAATCTTCAAATTACAGTCAAAACTGATTTATAGATTAAGGACATATTTGTATGTCCTTAATCTATAAATCAGTTTTGACTGTAATTTGTAATTTTAAGGACATATTAGTATGTCCTTAAATCCCAAGGGAAAACAAGATCCTGATGTAGCTTTCTACTCCAGGGGATGAAGCTGACCCAGGCAAAATGGAACTCCGTGGTCTGAATTTAAGCTTTAGGTAAAACTCACCAGATACTGAAAGATTCCCAACATTATCTCTAGTATTTCCTTTTTCCTTTGCCCATACAATTTGTGAATAGAGAAGGCACAACCAACATTACAATGGTAAGAGTACAACAGCATGAGAGTGCTGAGCAGCAGAAATTCCTGTTCTGACATCACCTTCAGGCATTTAAAAAATAACTTTGAGATGAGAAAATTATTTAAGTCTGATCTCAATTCTGTTTACATTGCAAATAGAACAAGATCCAATTTTTTTCCATAAAATACTTATTCCACAACTCTGTTTTCACCCCTCCCCCTCTCTGAAGTCTGAAATACAAGGTTATTGTGGTGGTTTTGTACGGGAGGCATTCACAGAAGTGATGAGCCACGAGAAGTGTCCTAGAAGTTTTGTTCTGATTGTAATTACTTTTTCTTTTGGTTACTGTTAATAAATTTTTCTTTGTACCCTTGTAAAGTTTTAAACGTACCTTATGTTTCTCCTAATCCTATATCAAGGAAATGAGTTGGTGAATACCCTAGTGATTAACCAACACTAAACCCACCCCACTCATTAGCACACTACCAGAGAAATCTCAGATTAACCAACCAAACCCACTACAGCCCTTTAAGTGCAGAATTCCCCCTGTGCACCTCCAGCACCCTCTGTACCCTGCAGTGATGCCACGGTGCCTTTGTGTCTCTGAGCTGTGTGGGGAGTTAAAAATCAGCACGAGGGCCAGGGGCTGATGGTGTGCCAGGGCACAAAGCAGGAATTCAATAACAAGCTGCACAGACAGTGGCCTTTTATCAGCACATTCCGCAGTGGTGGTGGCTCCACGTCAATGCTGGCCCCAGCGTGTCACTGCAGAGTGCCACCGAGTGTTTTCCCCACGGGCAAGCCACTATTATTGACTCCCCCCATTAACATGGAGGGTGGATATACATTTATTGAAGGTTCTAATGGAAGGCTGAGGGACTCCTATCCCGAGGCCAGAGCAGAAAGACAGCCTATCACTTCATGTAATGGTAGCCCATGTGTGACAGACCTGACCTACATTTCCCCCCTTTCTTTCTCACAACAGCCTGTCACTGTTTTAAGAAGCTATTTTCTGAGAGCTATAAAAAGGAATGCGTGCTAGAGCTGCCTGGTTAACATGTTATATTGAAATATTATTTACAAACCTGCTTTAGAAAGGCTACTTTAGACTGTGGATGAATTATGAACGATACCTAACACCCACAACGTGTCCTAATGGTTCTGGTTATAAATTCACACACAAAGAACACTAGGTGTGGATGGATTAATACTTACATCTAAAACACTGCAACAAAACGGAGCATAAAACTTAAAATTAAGAATAATTAATGAAGCTACCTTTCTAAAATAAAAAGGGCTAAGGTCTGCAATCAGTATAAATCCCATAATAATTCAAACTATCAGGAAGAATGCCCCCTAACGTTTTGTTGGAAATCATTCTGTGTTTTCAGCAGCTGATGTATGTGTAGCTCAAGCTATAAATAATGGATCCACGCCTGAAAGTAGGACAGGAGTGAAAGCAGCATTCCGTTCAGCACTGAACAGCATTTTCAAACACCAGCTCACCACCACTCCCAGCCCCTGGCTTAAAGAAAGAGCTGCTGCCACTCCAGCCCTCCTTGGCAGGAACCTACCACGCCGCTGCAGGTCATACTCCTGCTTGGTCTCCTCGTTGCCCAGAACTTTCCAGGCCTGGTGGATCTCCAGGAACCGCTGCCCGCGCTCCTCCGCCGCGCCCGCCGCCTGCTTGTCGGGGTGGTGCTGCCAACCAAAAACAACAGGACAAAAAGGTTTGGGGGGCTGGGGCTGAGCAGGCTGGGAGAGGAGCCACCCTTCATGCACCTCACACTCAGCCAGGAGGACACAGGAGAGGAGAAGGGCTAAGCTGAGAGCCGAAGGAAGGGAGTGACGGCGCTGGGCACAAGAGGAACCTGCCAGTTTGATTATCCCACTGGAAGGGCAGCAGAGCCACCAGTGGCACGAGTGTCACCGTGAGCACTGATGGCATTTTCTGCATAATTTGCTGATGGAATCACTGCCCTTATGGACAATTTACCTAGAGAAACAGAAATAGGTGCACACAGGGGACCACGACACAGGGACAAGAGGAGGTGCTGGCAGCTCTTGTGACACTGTGCAGAGCTAGACATATTTAAACACAAACACATAATTTTAAAAAAATATTTAAACATAAGCATCAATCACTGGCCTTATGGACAATTTACCTAGAGAGTGACTAGCACAAACAGAAATAGGGACCACAACACAGGGACAAGAGGAGGTGCTGGCAGCTCTCATGACACTCCGCAGAGCTAGACGTATTTAAACACAAACGTAAACACAGATGTATAATAAAAAAAAAATTAAAAAATATTTAAACATAAAGACAGATTTAAACACAAGCACCAATCACTGGCCTTATGGACAATTTACCTAGAAAACAGAAATAGGTGCACACAGGAGACCACGACACAGGGACAAGAGGAGGTGCTGGCAGCTCTCTTCACACTCCACAGAGCTAAACATATTTAAACACAAACAGATTTATAATTAAAAAAAAATTTAAAAATATTTAAACATAAGCACCCATCACTGGCCTTACGGACAATTTACCTAGCAAACAGAAACAGGTACACTAGGGGGACCATGACACAGGGACAAGAGGAGGCGCTGGCAGCTCTCTTGACACTCCGCAGAGCTAAACGTATTTAAATGCAAACAGATTTATAATTAAAAAAAAATTTAAAAAATATTTAAACGTAAGCACCAATCAGTGGCCTTATAGACAATTTACCTAGAGAGTGACTAGCACAAACAGAAATAGGTGCACACAGGGGACCATGACACAGGGACAAGAGGAGATGCTGGAGGTGCTGGCAGCTCTTGTAACACTCCACAGAGCTAAACATATTTAAACACAAACACAGATTTAAAATAAAAAATAAATTAAAAATATTTAAACATAAAGACAGATTTAAACATAAGAACCAATGTTTAGTTGAAGCTATCACATATCAATTGAATGCTGCATTACACGTGCCCAGCTTTTTTTATGATTTAAACGGTAAATAAAATATACATGATCAAATATAATTTATACTACATGTAATTCTACTTTTGAAAATATGCCTGAACATCTTTCATTTCTTCCAGTTCAGTGAATCAACAGCCCTTCCAAATACTTAAAATCATGGATCACTGGCTACAAAATTGTGTCATTTTCGTTAAGAAATGATTATTCAAGGACATGGTTATTCAAGAAATCCCACGTTAAACAGGCAATAGTAATTAAAATGGTAACACGTTTTCTTTCTCATTTGTGCAGAGCAGAGCATTCTGACTTGAGTGGTTCCAATGCCTGCTGAAAAGGAACCCTCAAAACTCCATCTTCCTGTAGCTTTAATTCATCTCCAGTAATCTCTTTTTCTGCTATTCTAAATTGCTCAGAAGATGTGATGGAGCAACAGGGAACAGCATTTAAGTTGAGAAAGTTCCAGTATAATCAATATAATAAATATAATATATAATATAAAAATACATATAATATATATATTATATAATATATATAATATATTATATATATATATAATATAATATAAGTTCCAACCTATTCAGGCTTATCAGCTGATAACTGTGTCATAGACCAAGTTTTCCCTTATTCTGGAGCTTTAAGTGCCCTTTATACCAACATCAGCAGGGGCACTGAAATGTGAAGCAGATTTTAAGATGTACAATACCTGCTCTGTAAGTGATCAAGCACATTTCTGATTAAATGAATCTGAGTTTATAATTAATTTTGGAAAGGAAAGAATGCTAGTAACACGTGTAGCTGACAAAATCCCAAATGTAAAGGAGCACTTTTCCTGGAGTCTGTTTGCTCACTGATGGATCTGTCATTGGCACTGATGGGTGTTATCAGTACATAAATCAGTGATCAGTAATGATCAGTTATCTGTACATAAATCCCCTGTACAACAACAGCAGGGATGGCTGGGCAAAATGCTTCCACCTCAGGTTTTTTCACAGGTGCTTTTGCACACACACAGGTGGACGTCCCTCCAACCTCACATGTGTACTAAATCCTGGTTTTGTTCCACTTGAAGTCCCCTGTGCATTCAAGCCTGAAGACTACCTTATAAAAATAGAGCTGAAGAACACTTGTGATCCATGAAGATTCCTCCCTTTTCTATCTCTTCAACTGAAGATGACAAAATTCTGAGGTGCAAACAAAACCAAAAAATCTTGGTCACTGTGTGAAGTCATTGTATTCTATATAGATAACTTCTAGGTATTTGGATTGGCCACAAAGTCCACACCTTCTCAGATCAGTTTCTTAGAAATACACAGAAAAATTACTGACTGACTGCCCAAAGCAGAGTCAAGCACACTGGCTTCTCTCCTGCCAACCATGTTGGGAAAACACTCCCACCAAACTGGCCACACGTTCCCTTTGCTGCACCAAAACCTTGTCTGACTGAGAAATGATTCTGAACTATACAGGAAGCCACACACCACAAAAGTACTGTGGAAAGAAAATAATTGATGCAGAAAATTAATTATTCTTCCGATTTAACACATAGCCCTTAACTCCTTTCCTACAGATTTGGGAAATGTAGTTTCTGCAGCATGTGCAATTTTTATGTTAGAAAGACTACAATTTCATCAACTCCATTGTAGGGCATCTACTCATTAAAATATGCACCTACATCTATCTATTTCTATCTATTTCTCTCCATTTTGGTCTCCATGCCTTCTGAACCTATTTGCTCCTTCCTCTCTTGGCCTTTCTCACCTAATGCCTTTAGCAAACTACATCTACACTAAGAAAAATCCTCAAACATCAGCTCTTTTATTCTAATACTCCTCTTATTCTTTTCTTCTATTCCAGTGACCCCATTTCATCTGGATTTATGTACTTACTGTTATGCTCTTACTGACTTATTTTTCCACTCTCTAGCTTGCTAATCAAAATCCAGGAATTTGTCTGCAGCAAAAATCCACTCTTGATTCAACTGCTCTGCTCTTCCTTCTCCAAGAGAGCACACAAAATGTCCTCTCTCCAGTTGTTTTAGACTCTGTTCAGCCACTCGGACACAGAGGAGACTTTACAAAAGTACTCAAGTTCAGAGGGAGCACTCTGATGTCAACACCGCACAGAATTCACTGGGTTGGAAGAGACCTTCAAGATCATGGAGCCCAACCCAGCCCCAACACCTCAACCAAGCCCTGGCACCCAGTGCCACATCCAGGCTTTGTCAAACACACCCAGGGATGGTGACTCCACACCTCCCTGGGCAGCCATTCCAGAACTTTATCACCCCTTCTGTAAAAAGATTTTCCCTTCAGACACAAATCATACTCTTTTTTGGGACCTTCCCTCGCTCTTGGTTACCAGATTCTTGTGTGATATGATGGATTTTGGTGATCTCCTCTTCCCTATTCATTGTCAGGATTATGCATGGGAGATATTTTTATCCATGGAATGTAGTGAGAAATATGATTTCCATCCAGCTATGAATTACCTTTAAAAAAAAAAAACAACCAATTTTCACAACCTACACTACAACACCTTCTGGAATGTGTAAAAAGAAGCATAATTATATTAAATAAGCACTGATGAAAGACACACATTGACAGCCACAGTGAGGATCAGCTGAATCCAGCTCAGTGGGAGCTTTACAGGCCTGAGTTTTACACTGGATTTGTAATGATTTGTAATCTCCTCCTAAACTGTGGAATACACAACTTAATGTGACCACTTAATGTGGTCAAATTTTTACTCAGCTGCTTTTCCACACACCAGATTTAAAAAGCTGGTTATTTAGAAAAGGTTTAAAAAGTGCTATCCCTTCTCATTTAGTAATTAATTAATACACTACTGTGGCTATTTTGCCTTGTGTATAAAGGGTATTCACTCCAAAAACAAAAGATGCACCACATCCCTAATTCTGTACATCAAACCAGGAGCCTTCATTTTAGGAAAGTCACTACTGCTTCCAAATTTTAAATCACTTTTTTTTTAAGTAAAAAATAAATTGCTGCAGTGTATTTTCACAGATAACTATAAAAAACTCCTCCCTGCTGAAATGACATAACTTTTTAAGTAAGCCACTTAAAATGTAGAGTTGCTTTTTCTGTCTGAGGAAACTGAAGAGAAATCAGTTCTAATTTTTTTTTTTTCCAAGATCAAATTAAGGAGTACTCTCTACCTTCTACAGCTTTGTCTTTCCTACTTTCCAATATTTTCTGCAAAGTTGTCAAGCTTTTGCAGGAATCTTCAGCAGAAAGCAGAAAAGTAATATAAAAAGGATGAATCAAATGCAGCTGCATTAAATTCTTGACCTTCTCTTCTGAGAGGATTATTTTGGAGAAATATTTTCAGATTTTAAAATTTTTACTATACACCATTTAGGGGTTTTTTTTCCCCACAGTGGAAACCATTTTTAAGGTTCTAAAATTCAAAAGTAATGACAGGCATAGAACAATGATGAAACCACCAGAGCTCAAAAATTCAACTTAAATTATTCTGGACTTACTATTATGAGTCATAAAGTAACCATTAAGTAGTGAGGAAAACCAACACTTAGAGTAGATTTCTAAACAACCTGATTTATTAAAGATTTTAAACTCTGAAATCATCTACAGTCTCATGGAATCACCTTACTAAATTGAACTGGCAAGTTTAGACAGGTTTGGAATTCCTGCTTTATTTCCATAGGGGATGTGTGCCTATATTTGAATAAGGGATATATTTGAAGCTG